TCCTGAGTCATGTTTCAGAACTCTGTGGACCAAATCTGTTCATTCTTTGCATGTGCCTTGTACTTTATCTGGGACAAATGCACATGCAGTGATTTACTAATTCAATCCAAGAAAATGTGGTATCTTATGCATGCTTGGTCAGTTTTTGTTAAAATTTGGTACATACATTATACATATTACGAGACATGTCTATGGTGATTCATTTCAGATTACATGTCCGTGACAATTTGTTTTACAATTAGATCAAAGATCACTGACTGGCGACCATCTTGCTTTTTGACCATACTATTATCTCCTATACCGTACATACTGTTTCAAAGGCTTAGACAATTTTCAATCATATACATCATACATATTGTCCATGTCAGTTTGTTCCATGAACAAATCAAAGATGACCGACTTGCATCCATCTTGTTTTTTTGAAAACGTGGTGTCTTGGACAGGTTTTCAAATTTGATACAAACATTATACATGTTGCGATTCATGTCCATGATGATTTGTTTCATGTTTTATATCTCTGTACATAAGCCTGGACAAATGAAATTCAGTTTGGATACAAAAAATGCATGAATAGCATATCCTGTTTAATTTATGACCATATACATGTATCATGATTTTGGAAGAGTCATTTATTTAATACATCTAGTTGACACTAAACCACCCAATTATTTAAAATTATTAAAGCTTTTGGTCCATATTACTTTATTTTTGGCATGAATAATTTTCTCCCTAATTCCAGCGGGTACTACATCATTGTCTTGAAAACTGAAGCCCTGTTTTTCTAAAAGGCTACCAAGACGAAAGAAATGTAGATGCCATTGTGATAAAGTATTTCAATCCTGTTTATATGTAAATTTGCTATTTCTATTCATATTTTGACCTCAAGATGTAGGACTGACATTTCTAATTTTCATAAGAACATGTATGTATAAGTTTCCTTATTTAAATAAAAATCGACATCCTTGTCTATGCAAGTTGCACAGTATATTTGTTGTGACCAAAAACAAGTTCCTCTTTAGATCTGATATAACTTTGTATGCAGCTGTTACATTTGTAACATACATGAGCGCATATGTGTCAATGGCATTATTATTGGGATTGATCACAAGCAATTTCATCTTTGCAAGCTGTAAATTAGTATTCAAGTAGTGATTGTTAAAAAAAAAGGCAATATGACTTATTGACATACATGTGTATTTAATACTGCTTTTGTTGCTATGGGGCAAATGATATAATTGTTGGATTTAAATGTATGTCTTCTATATTAAGGACGAAGGTAATCACAACCCTATTGTGTCAACAAATGTCACATTTAGCTGAGAAAGCAGATTATGCAACAACCACCTTCCATTGATCCCAACGTCAACTTATAGGCCATTTTACAAAAAAAAAAATGTTTATAAAGACCTGTTGCTCATGAGAAATTATGTCTAATTGGTCCACAATTACTAAAAACTTAAATGTAGCTGTATCAGAATTTGGGCTGAAAAATATGCCGTTCAAAAGTTTAAAGATCGATGGTCATGTGAGAGTTTGTTTTGTTGGTAATTTAAAATCATTGCGTTTTGGATTGGCTGTATTTATGTTTACAAGATGTTTCATGAGATGGTTGATAGATGAGTAAATTGGCACAGCAATTTAAAAACCCGGAATTAACAACCGACATACATGTACATGTATAATTTGTATATTATAATCTGTCACACCATTTCATAGATATTTCTCATGACTAAAAACAGGAATTATAATCACTTGAATAAGTACTTGTTGCAAAAGTATGTTTTTAGTTTAATGTAGAGAAAAACTATCTTCTTGAGAATTTTGCTCAATTACGATTTTTTCCAGATGCACTTTTCAGTTAATGTTAGAATTGTGGGATATATGTCCCAGGGGTTGGCCTTTTAAATCCTTTTAACATAGTCATTTTTTGTCATCTTTCACAAATAAGCCAGTTAACCTCGTACTGTTTTTCAAAATTTAGTTTTCAACAATTTTGATCAAAGTCTGTATAGGCAATGGACACTTACATTCATTTTGTTCAAAATTAAAAAAGAAAAATAACAGTTCGGTGAGGAAAATATTGACATCCAAATGGTTAATATTTTTTCTTTCATGCACACTTGTACTTTGTGATCCTACAATTGCTTGTCAATAACTTCACATTTGCCTACGTGGAATAAGGAAAAATACAGTATACATGTATATATATAAAAAATAATAACAGTTTCAGTTTGGAAAAGCATCAATCATTTTTTTCCAATCAGACTCTTATCTTTAATAGTTTCATTGTAGGGGTTTTGATGAAATCATCCAGGCTGCAGGAATCTTAATGGAAAGTGATATTTCCACCTTGTTGATCTGACAGGAAGACTAGTAAAGCTCATAAAATTGTGAAATTAACATTGTGACTAGAATATTAGATAGTGGTTCGAGGCAATCAGTTCCATTCCATCTAGTTTGTGATTAATTTGTATTTTTTTTAGTATTCGCATCTGGTGATTTCCTGCATGCTACTTTTGTTTTTCATATATGTATGGTATTTTTTATAATTACCAGACTTGTGATTGTTTAAATATAGTGTTTTTGTTTTTATTTTTTTGTTGGCAAGTTAACACATGTTTGCTGTATACATGTTGCGATTGCTGACTTAAAATTTTTTTTTTTTTCAGCTGTTGAAGATTTTTCTTTCTTCTAATTTTCTGTTGCAGTGTGAGTGAGACATGTTTTTTGATGAAGAGTGGGGGTGGATGTGCCCAATGTACTGTGAGATTGTATAAAACTTGAATACTGCGGTAGCATCAAAGTACACCAATAATGTATGGAATAATAATTCTGTAGTCATTGTGTTAACATGACAGTGTTGATTTAATCTATGGCTAACTTATTGTCAAAATAAACTAATGAGTATGAAAGATAACCATCATTTTTGCTGAATGTACTCCATATGAATTGTGGATATTGTAAAGGTGAGAAGGTTGGCACATCGTTTTTGTGTATCATAGAATGCTTATTGCTATTAACAGAACAATCTGTGATGTATCATGTGGCTTATTGTACTGTAACTGATAGAGAATTAACTAACTTATAAACTCGATTTTCAACAATTTGAATTGATGATGCTAATGATTCAGGGGATAGATTTATTTTGTTTTGGAACCTTGTAGTTTTTAGTTTTCTGTGTTTCTCTGCATGTAGTTTTTTTTCTTTGATGACCATACATGTGATAATGATTATAATGCAAGACACTTGTATAAATTCCAGATGCTTTCAACTGTACTTCTGTACATTGAATTATGTCTTTATATCATGACACTGTTAATATCAAAAGTAAACTGTTATTCTATACCACAATCAACATTCCATTGTTTTTACATACCGGTGCACAGTTTTGTGTAAGAGAAAATACAACCAGTTTAGCAAATCAGTCTCTATTTTATTGCCTTTCATTCAATTTTGTGTATCAACTCTGGTTTCCTAAGTAATTAAGTTGTTAACAGTACAGTGCCTAAATTCTGTTCTGGAATTGAACCTCCGTGTGATTCACTCATAGTGATTAGGCATATATGCAACATGTATAAAACTTTACAACGGTATAGATTCATAGTTAATCTGATAATGTTTCTTTTCATCTCTTGGGTGTGTTTGAAGCTTCAGTATGTATGTAGAAATGAAAAACACTCAAGATAATGAATATTCAACCTGGATATAACCCTTTAGATTCAGTGTGATCAAAGTATAATCATGTTGAGTTTCAATGTATATTAATATATATTTTGAGTAATTACTGCAAATATGTCTTATACTTTACTTGGTATGTCAAGTATGTCAATTCCTAGGCCTTACTCTGGTGGAGCTTTGACTCCTTATATTTTCATTGAAACCAGCAATAGCCATTGTTATCCTCAATCACAGGTTCCATCTGTGCGTCTGTCTGCATGGGCTGCTATAGTTGATAAAAAAAAAACAGGAAATAATTAATTCTGTGATGAAAAACTAAGAAAAAAAAAGTCCTGGATAACTGTGGAATTTTATTCAGGTGTATGAACCCTTTGCTGTCTCATGTTCATGATTTCAAATATTGACCAAAATTGCCAGAGAATTCAATGGCTTAATATATGATATTTTGTCATTACTTTTGATTACTTCCTGTTTGTGGCATGTTGAAGTGGCATTGATGTTTGCCTTGTCATCAATTTGTCAAGGTGACATTGCTGGCTGTAGATGTAGAACACAAGGAACTGTTTTGCATACAGAGTGGATGACCTGATGGATGGTGTTTGTTTTGATAACTCCTCAGAGAATTGAGGTGAAAATAGGATGCTTTGTCAATTCTGACGCTTCAAAGGCCTGAGAGTGCCGTGATCTAAAATACCCTGACAAGTGGCTTCTCGTGTGTAATTTACCACAGACTAGATCTGCTTGAGGTTAATGCACGTAGAATAGTTATAATATAGAACCGAGGGTGTATTGATGCTGACCATGTACCCCATTTCAGCTTCTAGAATGACAAATCCCAACTAATTATATTATGTGATGCCAATTAATTGAATAATCTATTATAGTTCTTTGATTGTTTTTAACACCAAATTGAAAAGGCTTATAAACCATGTAACACATCACGTTGTGTGTAACATCGAATATTAAATCAAGATATACAAAAGTCATTGCATTGTAGTGGTGTAAAAACATCAAGTGGAATCCAACAAATGGAATACTGTATTTTGATATTTCCATGCTTAACAATGTGCTGTACACATTTAATGATAACTAATAGTACATTGTATCTAAATACCATGTTCTCCACTGAAATCTCAGCATTTTGATATAGAACTATAAAAAAAAATGAGATTGAAGAAAATCAAAACAAAATATTTACTGCAAATGTACACAGTACTTTATTATAATAGAGCACAATTATAATATCATTATTGTAGGCATGTTCCATTACTCACATATCCATGTATGGAATAATCCATGTTATATATTTTTGACCATTCTAGGTTATGTGAGTGGTTTGTGCAATGAGAGCAAAGAAACTGCTGTTGCCCAGTTACTGGGACATCTACCTTTATTACATCCTGGTAATGCTGATGCCAAAAATGAATATCTGAAATTGATTCCCAAGATTCTACATCATTCCATTCAGAATGGAATTCACCTGGATGAGAGCCGACAATTGCTGTCTTATTCCGTCATTCATCCTGCTTTGAATAATGAGGAACGTACTTCACTCACTCAGTGGTTGACCCACCTGGACGAGTGCACGAGTAGTTACGCGTACCATCCCCAGCTTAGGAATTTGTCTTCCGACCCCACAGCAGGGGTCACGATCCCACCTGGACTTCAAGCAAACAGTTTTGAACACAACAACTTTCAGCATTTCTTGCATGGAAGTAAGCTGAATGGCTGGAAGAGCCAAACAAGTTTTGGGGAATCTGGCCTGGGGCCAAATGATAGTAGCGAGCAACCCACTATCACCTTGGTGGCTGGTAACCATGGTAGTGGTGATACAAATGGTGGAGTGAGATCACATCCACCAGTGCAGCTTACCTTGTCAGCACCGCCAGCTATGAATATGGCTACACAGTTATCAAATCAAGGAGGTAGGTTAAATTGAAATTACTAATTGTTTATTTTTAAAATAATTATAGTATAGCTCACATTCACCTTAAACTAGCTTGCATATATGAAAACTACTTGCAACAGTACTGTTGACATAGCAAATCCATTTTCTACATTTTATAAATATTCATAAATTGCATTTTTTCTACATTTTTATAACTATTCATAAATTGCAATTGCAGTTGAATCCAACTAGCCAATCAATGAGCGCAATGCAATCAATGTGTCAATCTGATTAAAATCTGATGTAGTGTACGGGCTTTAATTATTTTGGCTATAAACTTATTTTAATTTTATGTTTTATTACTTTTGTTATTAATGCCTTTTTATTTTATTATTTTACGTTGATTTTGATTTTGTGATTTTTTTAAAATTCCGCCCTACATACATCTGATCCGACGCCTACGTAAGTCCCGTTCAAATCTCGCGTAAGTAACAGCCAATCACAGGCCCCCTTTTATACAGGCTGTTGGTTGCTTACTTTTCAGTGTAGCGATACTCTACGGGCAATCTTTCTGTACATTATATTTTGCCCACTTGAATAAACAATTAATAGAAAATTGCTAGTATATTTTTATTTACAAAAGAAATTCCACAGCATTTTACAATTGTTTTCATTACATTGAATATTTTGTTCACTTCCAACAAATGTGTACACTTCCTGATACATCTTCGCCAGCCAAGGTTCGTTTATTCAGTCATCGCTTCAATTTTACATCAAACACTGAGCATAATTATCTAGAACGGAAGCAAAAAAATAAGTAAATCGTAATGATTAGAACACTGTAAACAGCTATAGTAAACAATGCAAATTTTAAATTGTATAACGGTCACCGGCCCACGGCATCGACGCAGAAATTGGAGCAAAAACATATTTCCTGATCAATTGCCATGTGTTCCAAATAAAAAATATTTTATTCCAGTCCAATTAGCTCATTACTTTAATAAAGAGTATTGTATATGTACAAATG